TGGTGGGTTACGTTGTGTCAGGTGACGGGTGTAAATTCTGCTGGGAACTCGGACTCAGGAAGTCGGTGGAGGGCGACAGGAAGTCATGTTGAACGCAGATTAGAGGGTGACATCCATAAATTGTGACAGCGAGGTGACAACACATGACAGCCAATCACCCACCAGCTGTGAGGTGACCCCGGGGACACCGGAGGGAATTCATATCATTTATAAACGGTAGAAAATGAGACAATTTCACAGAACACAAACTACATATCCCCTCCTCCCCCCGGAGTCCACACTGATCCCACCCCGTGTGACCGGCCCGGAGCCTGGTGATTGCCTGTGATTGGTGCAGGAAGTATTGGGGGTCCCTTTAGTTTTCCCTGGATAGGCCGGGGCCACAACCCCCGTCAGCTTTTGTCTTCCGTGTCCCAATGGGGAGATTTCCTTTCACTTCCTGTTTGATAGTGACAACAGGAAGTGAAGGGAAATCACTGGTCACCAGAACTAGTGTCCCCATTGGGAGATTGTGTCATGTGACCTGTTGATGGGGATCACGGTGCGTTTACGTGTGTCATGTGACGTGTTGATGGGGATCACGGTGCGTCTACGTGTGTCATGTGACCTGGTGATGGGGATCGCGGTGCGTCTACTTGTGTCATGTGACCTGGTGATGGGGATCGCGGTGTGTTTACGTGTGTCATGTGACCTGGTGATGGGGATCGCGGTGCGTCTACTTGTGTCATGTGACCTGGTGATGGGGATCGCGGTGTGTTTACGTGTGTCATGTGACCTGGTGATGGGGATCGCGGTGCGTTTACGTGTGTCATGTCCTTCACGTGATGCGGAATCATTTTCCGGACGGAAAACGTTCATTTTTTGGGGGGAAAAGGAGAAAATTTCTGATATTTTCTGCGGCGACAAATCGATAATCAATAATGCGGAATCCGGGCACGGTGGGAGTTGTAGTTCTATAGGGAAGACTCAGTCTGTGTGCACTTCCCTCCCCCAGGCACAGCAAGGGGGCCCCTTAGAGGAGATCTGGGGGCCCCTGTCCCCCCCTCCTCTCTGCCATTCAGGAAGCTGAGTGCAGGGACAGGAATCCTGGCCGCTGATTGGCTGGGAGTTTGCTGGAGGGGGCGGGGGAAGGTCAGGAGTTGAGCTCTTTGTAGAAGAGGAGAAGGGGCCCCAGACATTGTCACCATGAGGAGGCAGAAGAGGAGGAGGGCCCCTGGCAAGGTGCAGTATAGGGGACATGAGGGGGGGCAGATCTGTACAGCTGGGGCCCTTGGTGTGGTGCAGGAGGGGCCCCAGTTACTAGAATGTCTGCAAGGAGGTGATGCGTCTGTGCTGAGGAACTACAGATCTCAGCATGGAATCAGATGTGGCCCTTGGTGTGCAGGAGGGGCCCCAGCTGCTGGGATGTGATTGTCTGATGATTCTCTGCTGAAGAACTACAAGTCTCAGCACTGACACCCAGACACTGCAGCCCTTCTCAGAGGGGCCCTTGGTGTGCAGGAGGGACCCAATCATTGGAATGTCTGCATGGGGGGGGGTGATCTGTGTTCCCTGCATGCTGAGGAACTACAAGTCTCAGCCAGTTACATCAGCTCCATTGGTGGGGCCCCCGGCTCCTGGGATCTGACAGTATAGGTTCCATAGAAGGTGCTGAGGAACCACAAGTCTCATCGTGTCAGTAGAGTGTAAGCTCTTGGGTCCAGGCCCTGTGTGTGTGTTGGGATCATGTGACGTATGTTGACGTTCTCACCGCCTCCTCGCCATCCGCAATTCCGTTTCCTGTCAGCTTAGAACTGAAAATAAAAGTCATCTGTGATTGGTCGGCGCCTGAGACCGGTGTGTGGCCCTTTAAATGACCTTTTGTTGTGCAGGAAGCGCCGGCGTTGTCACATGTCTGTGTTCCCGTGTGTTGTGTTCACATGCGTGTTGTGTCACATGTCTGTGTTCCCGTGTGTTGTGTTCACATGCGTGTTGTGTCACATGTCTGTGTTCCCGTGTGTTGTGGTCACATGCGTGTTGTGTCACTTGTTAACGTGCAGGAACAGATGAACAAAACGCACATGCATCATATTTTGTGAGGCAGCACATAGCAGAGGGGCGCAGTGCTGTGCGTTGTGTCATGTTTGTGTGTCACCTCAGTGTGTTGGGATTCCATGACACGGGAACACACACGGCAGAGACGTGTCACCGCAGCACAACCTGACCCCAGGCGTGGTCACCTCTGAGACATGTCAGACGTCTCTCCTCCCCCTGCAGAGTCCAGATCACCGAGACCCCCGAAATCTCACCTCTGCATACATGTCCTCCATCCCGTGTATCTGTACCCGACCGTGTGTACTGACCGTGTGTACCCGACCGTGTGTGCCCGACCGTGTGTACTGACTGTGTGTACTTACCGTGTGTACCCAACTGTGTGTACTGACCGTGTGTACTGACCATGTGTACCCGACCGTGTGTACTTACCGTGTGTACCCGACTGTGTGTACTGATCACGTGTACTGACCGTGTGTACTGACTGTGTGTACTTACCGTGTGTACCCAACTGTGTGTACTGACCGTGTGTACTGACCATGTGTACCCGACCGTGTGTACTTACCGTGTGTACTGATTGTGTGTACCCGACTGTGTGTACTGATCACGTGTACTGTCCGTGTGTACTGACCGTGTGTACTGACCGTGTGTACCCGACCGTGTGTACTGACTGTGTGTATTGTCTGTGTGTACTGACTGTGTGTACCGGCTGTCTCCTGTAGTATGGTAGGTTTAGATGTAGGGAGTGGTGGTGGTGGTGGGGGGGTGGATGGGTCATGTTTGCCCGGCTGTGTGATCCTCGGGGGGACTCCGGTGTAATGGTGGACGGTCTGCAAAGGGACCATTATCGTCCCTTTTCTGAGATTTAGGTTCCCTGTTTGGTCATCTTCAGGGTAAAGTTTGGGGTCAGTTCAGGGTAAAGAGGAGGTCAGGTTGAGTTGAAGTCAGAGGTCCATTCTCGGGGTTCGGGGTCATTGCTGTTACTTTTCACCTCCTTGTGAATGGGAGCGACTTCAGTGCATTTCGAGGGACACACCGCGAGGGCGGAGATCTAAACACATGGGGGAACCTCACTGAGATACTTTACCGGGTCCGTACAATCACCGGGACAGCTCTCAGGAAGTGGCCATTGGTGGGTGAACAGATGGGACTGACGGCTCCCGTCATACAAAGAACATGTAGTGTCCCTGATAGTGATTATTCCCACATGATCAATCCAAGTCCAATCATTGCCATTGATCACTCCATAGCCAATGCTCCTGGATTGTGTAGACTGGTCCTGGATTGTGTAGACTGGCTCCTGGATTTTGTAGACTGGTTCCTGGATTGTGTAGACTGGCTCCTGGATTGGGTAGACTGGCCCCTGGATTGGGTAGACTGGCTCCTGGATTGGGTAGACTGGCTCCTGGATTGGGTAGACTTGTGCCTGGATTGGATAGACTGGCTCCTGGATTGGGTAGACTTGTGCCTGGATTGGGTAGACTGGCTCCTGGATTGGGTAGACTTGTGCCTGGATTGGGTAGACTGGCTCCTGGATTGGGTAGACTTGTCCCTGGATTGGGTAGACTGGCTCCTGGATTGGGTAGATTTGTCCCTGGATTGGGTAGACTGGCTCCTGGATTGGGTAGACTGGC